ATCTTCTACTAATTAAGTTTTTAATTCATAAAATATTAGAATCAACCTTAAAGTATGCCTTTGTTAATAATTTTACCCAACACAGGCCAGTATATTTCCCAGCATCCATCTCTGAGACTGGCGGCAGCCTCATGATTTCATTCTTATTCACTGAGATGGGCTTCACTAGGTGACAGACTGTGATTATTTTCTACAGCATGATAATAAGTACAAACTTTATTTTTAGAGCACTTTTCAAAGTGTCTTGCACAAAGCAACAGATTAAGAGCTAACAACAACAAGGTTAAATATTTTAAACTGAACCTGAACTGAAATTTCAAAAGGTTAACCAATAGTAAAATAAAATAAAAATAAAATATAAAAACTTCATTTAAATCAGGATAAGCTGGTAACACTTTTCTTCATCTTTCTATTTAGCATTAATAAGCAGTATATCCACATTTAGTAAATTATTTATAAAACATTATAATGTCATTGTAAGAAGATATGTGTTTATTAAGGGATTTGTAAATAACTGTAATGCCTGAGGTTAAGGTTAAAGGTTGTTATTTCGTGTGCAAGTGTTTTCAGACTGGTCCCAGCAGCAACAGGCCAAATTTGAGGTCACAGTTGGCCAGGAAGCCAGTCCAGCGGTCAGATGTTTCCTCGAAGTGACACAGTGTTTCTCTGACTGATGACCGTCCCCTCTGCGCTGGTTCCCAACCACTGGAGTGTGGTTTGTTGAAAGAGCATCCACCCCAACAACTGCATGAGCTTAGTGCTGTAATTAGCCTATCTAGGTCTGAGTTCCACATATGTGTTCGATCATGTGTCCTTCAAGAAGATAAGACTTTGTGGTTGTCTTTTTTCCATCTTATCCACAAGCAATCATTTCAACCAAACAAAATCAAATATTCATTCTTTAAACTGTGCAAAGGGGTGATAGTTATAGATTACTGCCACGTTTGGCATGCTGTGCTTCAGTGACGTTTGTAGGGTGAAAGTTTTTTTAATCACCTTTTACATACAGAAGAATTAACCACTAATCTCAAAATAAATCAACAGCTTAGTTGATAGTTTAAATGACTTTTAGTTACTACCGTGGTTTAGTTACTTTCTTTTGCTCACATAAACCTGGACTGCAGCTCTTCATGTTGATTAGACCATTGTTTGTATTTTCAGATTTCAGGTTCTTTTCTGTAATAGAAGAGGAGCTGGACTAACTTCTTTGCCTTCGTCTGTCCCTGTTTGATCTCAGTCATCTCCTCTTTCATTCAATTCTTTCTCCTATCTTTCATTAACCTCTTTTTTTAAATTTCCCTCTTTCAGTGTGTGTTGTTTCTTGTATTGAAGCACCACTGACACACATCCTTCTTCCTCCTCTATGCTGCTTCTCTTTTCTTCTGAAGAAATGCAGGCCTCTGTTTTAAGAAACCCAGATAACAATCTCATGTTTCTTTTCTTCTCTGCCTTCCTTCACTTGCTGTTTTCCTCCAGGCCCCATTTCTTATGAGATTGTGTGGATAAGGGACACCCACCACTGTACCGTGGCACTGAACTGTCTGTGCGTGTGATTGTAGACCAGATCCAGGTGTTTGGATGAAGTATGGACTTTAAAGAGTCTAGAAGACAAAGCAGACAGTGGGGCAGCTATCAGGCCGATCAGAGCTGAGGATCTGTTTGTTCTTTAGGTCCACTAAACACTTTGTCTGCTCTGTTGTGACTACTGGAAGAACCAAGGCTCTGTTGTCTAAGGGATCACTTTAGATAAATTTGACAAGTAGGTTCCGGCAGACAGGCATATTAATATTTGAAGATGTATTTGATGTGAGCTATCAGTAAGAAATTACACATCTGAATATACTGAAGGAGGCACATATGATTTCAGGAGTTTTGGGATGGGAGTGGACAAAAAAAAATCTTACTGGCTTCTCCTGTCTAATCATATAGCTACTTTAGATGACATAGCTCTTGCCTCCAGTACTACTGTGAGGAACCTTGGAGTCATCTTTGATCAGAATATTTCCTTTAAATCACACATAAACCAAGTCTCTAGATCTGCCTTCTTTCAGCTGCACAATGTCGCCAAAATCAGGAGCATCCTGTCTCAAAGTGATGCTGAAAAACTGGTCCATGCATTTGTTACTTCCAGGCTGGACTACTGTAACTCTTTACTATCAGGATGTCCCAATAATTCCCTAAAAAGCCTCCAGTTAATCCAAAATGCTGCAGCCAGAGGACTGACAGGAACGAGCAAGAGAGATCATATCTCTCCCATATTAGCTTCTCTCCACTGGCTCCCTGTAAAAGTCAGAATAGAATTTAAAATCCTTCTCCTAACATACAAAGCCCTTAATAACAAGGCTCCATTGTATCATAAAGACCTCGTAGAGCCTTATCATCCTAACAGAGCACTTCACTCTCAGAGTGCAGGTTTACTTGTGGTTCCTAGAGTCCACAGAAGCAGAATGGGAGGCAGAGCCTTTAACTATCAAGCTCCTCTCCTATGGAACCAACTCCCAGTCTCAGTTCAGGAGGCGGACACCCTCTCTACCTTTAAGATTAGACTTAAGACGTTCCTTTTTGATAAAGCTTATAGTTAGGGCTGGATCAGGTGACCCTGAGCCTTCCCTTAGTTATGCTGCTATAGGCCTAGGCTGCTGGGGGGCCCCATGATGCTCTGAGTTTCTCTCCCCTCCCCTCCCCTCTCCTCTCTCTCCCTATGCTTCTATATGCCACCATTACACATT